GGTTTCCGGCGCAGGATGAAGAAGTTCTCAGCCCTCATCATCATGAAGCGCATGAATTTGTGGCACAGGATCTTCTCAATCTCATCTGCCTGAAGAGGGGAAGGGGAAGTCAGGCTTCCTCAAGCTGAGTGCAAGCCACCAACCCTTTTCCTCAGCTCCAGCTCCGTTCTCTCCCCCTCCCCCCCCAGCAGGCTCACCTGTTTCACTGCAATGCTGACTCTCACGGAGTTGATGGACCCCTCGATCAGAACCTTCTCTTTCTCATTCCTGCTGATGATCACTGGCTGTAACAGCAGCTCTTTGCTACTCCTGCAAACCCAGAAAAGACATCAGCATGCATAAAGAAGGGAACACCTGTGAGCCCAAGGCACGTGCATGCCACAAGGGGCAGTCACCTACCAGGGAGTGGCTCGCTTACCTGGCCACTTGCAGCTGGGGAAAAGCGTAGGAACCTCATTGTAATACAGAAGCTTCCACTTTTGTACATAGCACTGATGCCAGATGTACAGCCCTCAGGACTGAAGAGGTCCAGCCTGAGCAGCACTACCCCTGTCAACATGCCTCATCTCTGTCCCACAGGAGCCACCCGCAAGCCTCCTTGGTCCATCCAGTCCTCAGCTTCCCTGATGGGACTGACCAGATGGTTAATTAGTGCCAGTTGTGCCAGCTGTGAGTTGTGTGTGTGGCACCATGCACTAGACAGACTCACACCAGACACGGGCCAATTAGCAGCCAACACCCTTTGCTGTAGCCAGTGGCTTGGCAGAGGGGGAGGAGGGAAAGACGCCTTGCCTGCAAAGGGCTGTGTAAGGTCTTCACTACATGGGAATGTTTTCTTGATATAAACAATGCTTTAAATTCACACCTCTCTGGTTATCCTGGGGCAGCCTTCACATGGGCATCCAACCCCCACTATCACAGGGACTCTCTTCACTTTACATCTTTCTCCTGGTTAGGAGCTAAAGGTAAACCGAAGAAACCCCTGAGAGCAGAGTAACACACAGGGTTCCCCTGAGATCACAAGGCCTCCAGAGCCAGGAACCATCTTGCAGGAACAAAGCCTACTTCTCCCCCAAAGCTCCAAGACAGTAGCTGAAGGGAGCAATGCAAAGTGGTGCTTGCAGGGTTCCGGTCCCACGGGACAGCTGCAATACAAGCTTTCCCCACACAGCCGGTGCTTTGAACCCCCAAGGGATAGGAATATCTCCTAAGGATGGCAGGGGACTCTGGTTCCCATTCTCCAGAGCAGACTGGGCAGTACAGCCAGTCCCGTGCGGTGATGGAGACGCTCCTGGGACTAACTTCAGCCTCTCACTGAAACATTCCAAACAACAAACATCTCGGCAACCTCAACCATGCCCTTTGACTGCATGATGACAATGCAATTTCCAAGCACTTTGCCATGGAAGAGCCATATATTATTAATTAAAGCCAGGAAGGGACTTGTCTGCTGAACACACATTGCTTTCCTCAAGTACGCAGAAATGCATATTTCATGACAAAAAATTAGATCACAACAAAACAACCTTAACTCTGACCCATCGATTGTTAGTTTAATCAAATTCTGTTACCTTGATTTAAGTAGCAACACATTTACTTTTAAGGGACATTGTTAAACGGAAAGTCTGAGCAGTAAACATATTTAACAAAATTACCTTCTCAATTGACAGTAGGATCTCAATACTGGTTCGTGAGAACAACATTCTAGGCAGAGCTGGTATTGATGCCTATACTTAAGGCTGCCAAACACTTCCTATAAGACACTAATTTAAACTGCATATAAACTGGGTCAAACCGTAACCACTTTCCCATGCTGGGCATCTTATTCAGGCTGAATACAAGTCTCAGCAAAAATGGTTCAACCGTCTGACCAAGCGTAGAGGAAAATATTTTGTCCATGTTAAAACAATTCTTAAATTCACTGAGACGCTCTAGTGCTTTGCAGCCGGGACTAGAAATTTGGCGGGGTGAGGTGTCAGTGAGGAGCCCATTTTGCTGTTCCTGTGAAAACCTGCTCAAATGTGTTCTAGCCTTTGAAAAACTCCGTTCACCCATGCTCCATGGAGACCTCAGAGTTCACCAGCTAAATTCTGCAAAGAGTTTATCTGCACTGACCATGCTCCAACCCAGGGTGAGCAGGACTTTCCTGGCCATTGCTGCCTGGTGCACCAGAACATGCAGGGAAGGGGTAACAGTGGGGCAAAGTCAGGGCAAGTCTGGGAGCAGGGGTTGGGAGAGTCTGTTTTCCTATGCTGTTGGTGTTCCTCTGGCTGATGCCCAGGCAGCGTGGAGAAGAAAACACACTGACTCTGATACAGAAAGGACAAGGGCTGAACCTGGGGGCAGGATAGCTTGTGGGGGGAGAGACAGACTGGGACTGAGAGCTGGCTAGAAGGCATTGCAGATCAGTCGAAGATGGAGGGGGAACTGGGACTGGCTGGGCAAGAAGCCTGAGAACGAACTGAAGAGAAGGGAAGCCAACTGGGACAAGAACCTGGGGAAAGTGTGTGTGGGGGGTGGGGGTAGGGGTAGGGGAAGAGATTACTAAGAAGCTGCTCGCTGCTCCATAACCCATGATGCTTCTGGCAGCCTTAGCCCCCCAGCCCCCGGGGTGACAGGCAGCAGCCTGAGCAAGCAGCCAACCCCCGTATATTTCCCCTGCTGGAACAGGGGCTCCAAGCCCTCTGAGGCCTTCAGGGCACGCTGGGCTTCAGCAGACTTCAGGGTGCCCCCCGCCCATCTCGGGGTCCCAACCCCCCGCCGTACCTGACTTCCACTTCCGGCTTGTTGTGTCGCTCCACCACCTGGGAGGAGAAGTTCTCCAGGCACAGGGCAGCCTGCAGCGTGGCGCGCACTGCGTTCAGGTAGGGGCGCAGGGTGGCGGTCTAGGGAGAGCGGGGAAGTCAGAACCAGGACAAGAGCCACCAGCGCCCCTCCCAGGCCCGGCCTCCCCACTCCCGACCCGGCCGCGCCCCCAGGCCCCTCCACGCCTCCCCAGCCCCCGACCCCGCATTCCCGACCACCCTCCCGGCCCTCTCCAGCCCCCCACCAGGTCCGGCCCTGCCCGGCCCTCCCCCCACCTCCCCGGCCTCCGCCCCCGCCTCCCGACCCCCAGCCTCCGCCCCCGCCTCCCCACTCCCGACCACCCTCCCGGCCCTCTCCAGCCCCCCACCAGGTCCGGCCCAGCCCGGCCCTCCCCCCACCTCCCCTGCCTCCGCCCCCGCCTCCCCACATTCCCGATCCCCCTCCCGGCCCTCCCCAGCCCCCACCAGGTCCAGCCCAGCCCGGCCCTCCCCCACACCTCCCCGGCCTCCGCCCCCGCCTCCCCACATTCCCGATCCCCCTCCCGGCCCTCCCCAGCCCCCCCACCAGGTCCAGCCCAGCCCGGCCCTCCCCCCACCTCCCCGGCCTCCGCCCCCGCCTCCCGACCCCCAGCCTCCGCCCCCCGCCTCCCCACTCCCGACCACCCTCCCGGCCCTCTCCAGCCCCCCACCAGGTCCGGCCCTGCCCGGCCCTCCCCCCCACCTCCCCGGCCTCCGCCCCCGCCTCCCCACTCCCGACCCCCTCCCCGGCCCCACATTCCCGATCCCCCTCCCGGCCCTCTCCAGCCCCCCACCAGGTCCGGCCCTGCCCGGCCCTCCCCCCCCACCTCCCCGGCCTCCGCCCCCGCCTCCCCACTCCCGACCCCCTCCCCGGCCCCACATTCCCGATCCCCCTCCCGGCCCTCTCCAGCCCCCCACCAGGTCCAGCCCAGCCCAGCCCGGCCCTCCCCCCCACCTCCCCGGCCTCCGCCCCCGCCTCCCCACCCCCAGCCTCCGCCTCCCCACTCCCGACCCCCTCCCCGGCCCGGCCGCGCCCCCAGGCCCCCCCGCGCCTCCCCCCGCCAGGTCGGGCCCAGGCCGGCCCTCCCCCCACCTCGCCGGCCCTCGCCTCCCGGTCCCCAGCCCCCACGGGGCCTCGCCGATCCCTTCTCCCCCGCCCCTACCATAGCGGCGGCTTCGGTCCGGTCCGGTCCGTCCAGCTCCCAGGAAGCGGAAGTGGCGGGTGCAGCCGCGGCGGCTTCTCTCTTCCGGGATGGGCGGCCCGTTCCATTACCGCCTGCGGGGGTCTCTCATCCGAGCCTCCCTCCTGGCCAGGAATGGAACCCGCCTCTCACCCTCCCACACCGGCTGCCCGCGCGGGGGGAGCAGGGGCAACACTCGGCCGCTGCGGGCCCACCGGGAGCGCCGGGGCTCCTCACTCCCCCCCCATCCCGCACTTGGTACATTCCGGCCGCTGCTTCCATATTAGGGAACGGAGAGTGAGCTTGTTCAGCCAGCGGGGCGGGGCCTCTGGGTGGCGCCCAGCCAATGGGGATCGAGTATGGCTGCCCTGGGCTACGGCGGCCGGAAGGGCCGAGAGGCTCGTTGCGCCGCCGGAAGTGCTGTGGGAACCCCCCTCCCCCGGCGTCGCAGTGGTAGCGGCCGCCTCGCCGAGCGGCGCCGTCTCCCTGGACCCGCGATCGCGGGCCGCGGCCTGAGGCCTCCGCAGCTGGGCCCAGGCCCCCGGAAGCGCCCCCGCGTCCCGGGCCCCCCAGCGCCCCCCCGGCCCAGCCCGGCCCCCCCATATCCCAGCGGCCCCCCAGCCCGCCGCCCCCCCGAACCCCCATATCCTGGTCCCTCTGTGTCCCGGCCCCCCATATCCCAGCGCCCCCCAGCCTCGCCCCCCTCGGCCCCCCGTATCCCAGTGCCCCCCTAGCCCAGACCCCCCAGGCCCCCAAACCCTGGTGCCTCCGCGTCCCGGCCCCCCCAGCCCAGACCCCCATATCCCAGTGCCCCCCCAGCGCAGCCCCCCCAGGCCCCCATATCCTTGTGCCTCTGCGTCCCGGCCCCCCATAGCCCGGCCCCCCCAGGCCTCCATATCCTGGTGCATCTGCGTCCTGGCCCCCCATATCCCAGTGCCCCCCCAGCCCAGCGGCCCCCCCCAGCCCGGCCCCCATAGCCTGGTGCCTCTGCGTCCCGGCCCCCCATTGCCCGGTGCCCCCCCCATACCCTGGCACCCCCTGGGCCCCCATACCCTGGTGCCTCCACTTCCAGGCACCCCCATAGGCCAGCGCCCCCTGGCCCCCATACCCTGGTGCTCCCCCCTAGCCCGGCGCCCCCAAACCCCAGCGCCTGGCGCGCTCGCGGCTGGGCGATGAGCGAGCTCAAGGACTGCCCACTGCAGTTCCACGACTTCAAGTCGGTGGATCACCTGAAGGTTTGCCCGCGTTACACGGCCGTGCTGGCCCGCTCTGAGGACGATGGCATCGGCATCGAGGAGCTCGACACGCTACAGCTGGAACTGGAGACGCTGCTGTCCTCAGCCAGCCGCAGGCTGCGGGTGCTGGAGGCAGAGACGCAGGTCAGGCTCCCTAGTTCCTCGGGGCGGCCTGGGGTACCAGGGTGATGGGCATGGGGATGCCAGGCCACCCAGTACAGCTGCAGCTGGAGTCCATCGGTCTTGGCTTCGCGGCCCTTTGCCAGGGACCATTTGGGCTCAGGAGGGAAGTCCCTTCTATGGCAGATGGAAGAGGTACCCCATATCTGCAAAGCTCCCCCCACTTCACGCACAGCCCATTTGGGGTCTGCCAATCCATGGTGCCCATGCCAAGAGCCGCTTGGGGGCAGTGCTGACCCAGCAGCAGGGGGTAGATCCTGTGGGCTTCAAACAAGCCAGCTGTGGAATGGTTAACATGTTGGGGTTTGATGAGTTGTCATTACTCTTCAGAGTGAACACTATAACAGAGTCCCAAGTAATGTCACAAGTTATTGGGGTGGCTGAGCGATGATTAATGGCCAGGGCCTTGTGCTATACAGGAGGTCAGACTGCATGATTTCATAGCCCCCTCTGGCCTAAAAGGCCAAGAACCTTTGCCTTGTGGTAACGGCTGCAGCTGGGTCACTGCTTGTTGCTCTGTGGGTTGGCTCTGACCGGGAGGCCTGTTAACTTGTTTTCTCTGTGCCTGGAATTGCTTCATACAGGGGCTAGCCCCTGTTTTGTCCAGTGTGCCATCTCCCCAGTACTGGTTCCTCCCTCCCATGGCAGACAATGCCACAACAGAGCCCTGCTTGCTGCCAGTCTTGCAAGTCTGCCCAGCCTGTTTCCCCTTCCTTCTCTCTCTGTGGGTTGTGCTCCCTGTGAGCTGCAGAGGGATGCCAGCTGCCAGGGAGAACAGAGCTTGAGGGGAAAGGGGATGGGGGGGACCCTTAAAGGGCAGGCACGGCTCACTGAGGGCAGGAGTCCTGGATGGAACTAGACCCTTCCCTTTCTGCTCCTGGTTCTGGGCGCAGCCAGCTGTCTGTCTGGTGTGACACAGTGCCATTCTCTTTCAGATTTTGACAGACTGGCAGGACAAGAAGGGGGACAGGCGGTTCCTGAAGCTGGGCAAAGAGCACGAACTGGGCACCCCAGTTAAACACGGAAAGCCTAAGAAGCAGAAACTAGAGGGGAAGGGTGGCCATGGCACAGGGCCCGGCCCTGGGCGGCCCAAATCCAAGAACCTTCAGCCCAAGATCCAAGAATATGAGTTTCCAGACGACCCAGTTGACATGCCTCGGATCCCCAAAAATGATGCCCCAAACAGGTATGGGGTATCTGTGCGAAGCGACACTGAGAGAGTGGGGGTGGAGACAGCTGGGCACAGTGAGCAAAGGGACACTGGGGGGTTCCCAAGGAAAACAAACTCATTTCCCTGTTGCTCCTGGTCAAAGCCACCAGCTGCGAAGCTGAATTGGAGCTTGGATGGCGTGAGAGTGAAGTCTGGTCTGGCACTGAGCCATCCTAGGGCACAGAATCCATCTCCTCGGTAGAGGAGCAGCCACAGCTCAAGTCAGCGGCTCTGTGCCAGGCTTGGGGTGGCCCCCTGCTCTCTGAGTGCCTGCTTTGCTCTGCCCTGCAGGTTCTGGGCTTCGGTGGAGCCCTACTGTGCTGACCTCACCAGTGAGGAGGTGCGAACCCTGGAGGAGCTGCTCAAACCCCCGGAGGATGAGGCTGAGCACTACAAGGTAAAGACCTCGGCGCAGCCACCCTCCAAGCCCCCACGCTATCCTCCTGCTGTCTGGACTCTTCAGTCCTGTACCTTGCGGTGGTTGTCGACTCCACTGGGGCGAGGCACGCAGCAAAGGCCTGTGTTTGTAGGCCGTTCCCTCCCCTCTGGATCCAGGCAGGGCCACGGGGCCTCTTGTCTGTGCTCGGGCAATGCAGGCTGGGTGGGACCAAGCTGAGCTGGAGGCTGTATTCTCCGAAAGGCCCATGCTGCTTTGCCCCCGTTCTAGGGCAGCAGAGCGGCGCTGGGCTCTCCATGGAATACAGCAACCATTTCGGTTTCATTTCCAGGGCACTAAGTGGCCCAGGCCTTGGGTATCTGAAAGCTCGTCCCCTGCTCCAGCACTTGGGCCTCCCTCTGCTTTTCAGACACAATCTAACTGCCTGCTGCAAGGGGCAGGAGACAACCTGTGGCACTTGCGGCTGCAGGATCTGAACGAACCCAGATCTCTGCATGCTGCAGGCCATGCCCAAACCTCCTTCCTGTGCTGTGCCAGGCCCTGGCCCAGCAGATTGTTTTCAGTGAGAAACCCCAGCGGAGAGGGAGGGCAGGGACAGTTAGTCCATGAGTGCTCAGATCCCCCACTGGGCAGCGCGGAACGAGAACCTGGCTGGAGCAGTGGGCATTGTGGAAGGGAGAGGAGAGCAGTACATTTGGTATATTAGGATATTGTCACTGCAGCTCAGCCCTGTTGTGCTGCCCTCGAGGCCGGACGTGGGGCCGGAATGCAGAAAGTCACCTCAAAATGGCACGGCCAAGCCCCACATCTAGAGAGCCTAGGGGAAAGCTGCATGCGCAGCCTTACCCCTGCCTTGGGCAAGCTCAGATACCACCACCAGCAAGAAGGTCCCAGACCAGGGGTTTCTCTCTAAGTGGCGACAGAAATGTGCAGCATCTCTGAGTGCTCAGCACAGCTCTGGGTAGGCTTGAGGTCACCCAGGACTTGTGTGCAGCACCATGGTGGACAACTGAATCAGGGAGACGAAAATGTGCTAGCCTCTGGAGGGGTTTAGTGTTAAACTGCAGCGTTACAGCAATCAGTGCAAATGCCTCTTAATCTGCTGCCGCTTAATGCAGCGAAAGCCGTGGCACCTGGAGACACAGTTTGTGTCCACTCCAGGGAAAATGGAGTCTGAAATATACTGACCACTTCCAAATCGGTGGCAAAGCAGAATTTCTGGGCCGAAATACCTGCTTTAACAGCGTTCAAAGAGTGCCTGTCCCAAACGCCGAACAATTCCCCCCCCTTTCATGCAAACAGACACACTCACTGGTCCCACTGCTTCAGGCAGGAGATGCGTGGGACACTACCCAATGGCTGTGCAGAGTCAGGGGTGGTACAGGGCTGCAGAGAGGAGTATGAAAATCCAGACCTTAGTGAGAAGCAGAAGTCCAGGGGGCCAGGACCCTGGCCAGTACTCACCCGCTGCCCTCCCAGCTCACACAGCGAGAGCGCCCGAGCACCGGCCCAGCTGCCTCTCTGCCCCACGTATGCGTGCAGGAGTGACAAATGGAGTCCACGACGCTCCTTGTGTAGCATAGGCGGCAGCTGGCACCTGGCTCTGCTTGTGCTGGTCAAGCCGGTAACCTCAGTGCGTGCTGTGCTGGGGCAAGACCCGAGCTGTGAGGGACACTGCCCACGCGTGCTTTGCATCTGACCAGGATCCATCATACCTGAGCTTCCCAGAGCTGAGATCAAGGGGAAGCTCTTCTTTCTTGTGTGCAAGTGCTCTGGCAGAATCCCTTGCAGCTGTCTGTCAGTGCGGGTGTGTCACACGGTAAAGGGGGAGGAGAGCCCCTAACCCAGCCCACTCCCCCCAGCCTTGGCAGGGCAGGAGCTGGGACTGCCATGCTGTGCCCTTCCTCAGGCAGGAATTCTGAAGCTCTTGGCATGTGCCCAAGGAGTGGCCCTTACAGGACATGCATCTGCTCTCTGCAGAGACTTCCGGCAGGGCTTGACCACAGCCAGCTGGCACTGTGAGTTGCTTGGCACTGCTCGTCAGTGTGGGGTGCAGAGGGCAGCATAAGGCCATGCTCTGCCACGTCTCTGGTGGGAGAGGGGCTGCAGGGGCTCTGAACCCAGCTCCCTGAGCTCCTGCTCTCGCTGTCCTGCTGTTGTAGATCCCACCTCTGGGGAAGCATTACTCTGTGCGCTGGGCCCAGGAGGACCTGCTGGAAGAGCAGAAGGATGGCACCCGGGCAGCAGCGGCTGCTGACAAGAAGAAAGGCATCCTGGGACCACTAACGGAGCTGGACACAAAAGGTGCCTCTGCTCCCCTTCCCCAGGCAGCACCTCCATGGAGGCACTGAGCGACATGTACTGGGGAGGGGGGGGTCGTCCACGCCCAGCACTAGGGGGGAGAGTGGAACTGGAGGGTTTGTCCACGCCCAGCACCGAGGGGGGCGGGGGGTTTGTCCCCACTAGTACCGATGGGGGTGTGTGGGAGGGGGTGGGGGGGTTCGTCCACACCCAGCACCGGGGGGTGGGAGGCAGAGGGGGTTCGTCCATGCCAGGGGGAGGGGGGGCTGTGGTTCAGGCACGCCCAGCCCTGACTGACTGGTGTGGGGGTAGGGGTATGTGCCAGCCTCACCCATGTGGCTGGAGAGTCCCCGGCCCTGGTGCAGGGCGGTGGGGACATGCCAGCCTCACCCTGGGCAGCTGGGGAGTCCCAGAGTGGAGGCTGTTAGGCCCTGTTCTGCTGCAGCCACCGCTCTGCTCACCGCTTCCTTCTCGCAGATGTGGATGCACTGCTGAAGAAGTCAGAGTCCCAGCAGGAGCAGCCCGAGGACGGCTGCCCGTTTGGGCCCTTGACGCAGCGCCTCCTGCAGGCACTTGTAGAGGTGAGTGAGGCTCCGGGGCGACCCTGGCTGCCGTACCCCGTGGGGCGTGGGTCCCAGCAGCTTGAAACTCATCTTTCTCTCCTTCTCTGCTGCTAGGAGAACATCATCTCGCCCATTGAGGACTCCCCGATCCCAGAGCTGGTGGGCAAAGACTCGGGAGCTGACGGTGCCGGTACTTCACCCCGCAGCCAGAACAAACCCTTCAGGTGAGGAGCCCTATGCAGCCAGCCTGGTGGGCTGGTGGCCTGGCCAAGAGGCTCTTGTCTGCCTGGGAAACTGCTCCAGAACCTGGTCTGAATGTGCTGAGGTGCCCCCCAGGCCTGGGGTGGGTGCGCCGGGGCTGTAAGGGAAGAACATAAGAATGGCCAGATTGGGTCAGACCAAAGGTCCATCTAGCCCCGTATCCTGTCTGCTGACCATGGCCACTGCCAGGTGCCCCAGAGGGAATGTACAGAACAGGTAACCGTCAAGTGATCCATCCCCTTGCCCATTCCCAGCTTCTAGCAAACAGAGCCTAGGGACACCATCCCTGCCCTTCCTGGCTAATAGCCATTGATGGACCCATTCTCCATGAACTTATCTAGATCTTTTTTGAACCCTGTTATAGTCTTGGCCTTCACAACATCCTCTGGCAAAGGGTTCCACAGGTTGACTGTGCGTTGTGTGAAGAAATACTTCCTTTTGTGTGTTTTAAACCTGCTGCCTATTAACTTCATTGGGTGACCCCTAGTTCTTGTGTTATGACAAGAAGTAAATAACACTTTATCTACTTTCTCCACACCAGTCATGATTTTATAGACCTCAATCATATCCCCCCTTAGTCGTCTCTTTTCCAAGCTGAAGAGTCCCCTGTCTTATTAATCTCTGGTCATATGGTAGCTGTTCCATACCCCTAATAATTTTTGTTACCCTTTTCTGAACATTTTCCAATTCCAATATAGCTTTTTTGAGATGGGGCGACCACATCTACAGGCAGTATTCAAGATATGGGCGTATCATGGATTTATATAGAGTGTGACAAAGTTCCTGCTCTACCTTGGTGCGTCTTGCGCTTATTGGCAGATTTGCTCGCCTGGAGCTTCACGGCAGCCCTCAGCTTGGCCGTTTTTCTGAACCCACAGTCCAGGTCAACTCCTCCTGTGTCTGACCAGGAGTGGGAGGATTTGGGGGGAACCCGGGCCCGTCCTCTACTCCGGGTTCCGGCCCAGGGCCCTGTGGAATGCAGCTGTCTAGAGTGCCTCCTGGAACAGCTGTGCGACAGCTCCAACTCCCTGGGCTACTTCCCCATGGCCTCCTCCCAACCCCTTCTTTATCCTCACCATGGGACCTTCCTCCTGGTGTCTTATAATGCTTGTACACCTCAGTCCTCCAATAGTCCACATTCTCACTCTCAGCTCCTCACACACACACCACAAACAGAAGTGAGCTCCCTTTTAAAACCCAGGTGCCGTGATTAGCCTGCCTTAATTGGCTGCAGGTGTTCTAATCAGCCTGTCTTAATTGTTCTGGAACCTTCCCTGTTACCTTACCCAGGGAAAAGGGACCTACTTAGCCTGGGGCTAATATATCTGCCTTCTATTACTCTCCTGTAGCCATCTGGCCCAACCCTGTCACATATCCCCCCCTCTGCCCAACACTATGGGGTTGGGCAACTTGGGACGTCAGGCAGTGTACTCGTGACAAGCCATCTGTATTGCCATGGTGGCTTCCAGCCTGATGGTGTATGGTGAATTGGAAAAGTTGTAGGGACAGGAGCCATCTGGTCAACCTTGTGTTCTTCTCTTTATTTCGCTGCATCCACTGGAGGGGTGCATGGTCAGTCACAAGGGTAAACCGTTGTCCCAGAAGGTAATAACATAGTGTTTCCATGGCCCATTTCACAGCTAGGCACTCTTTCAAGCTTGGCATACTTCTGCTCTCTCTGCAGGAGTTTCCTGCTGAGGTAGAGGATTGGGTGTTCTTCATCTCCGACCATCTGTGATAGGACAGCTCCCAGTCCTACTTCAGATGCATCTGTTTGTAAAATGGAATTCTTTGTTGAAGTCTGGGGCTATAAGCACAGGGTTACTACAGAGGGCTGTCTGTAGATCCATGAATGCTCTCTCTGCGGCATCTGTCCACTTCACCATGTCTGCACCCCAGGCTTTTATCAGGTCTGTCAGGGGACTTGCTCTGGTAGCAAAATGGGGAATAAATCGTCGGTAGTACCCCACCACACCCAGGAATGCCCAGACTTGCTTTTTCTGATTCGGCTGGGGCCAATTTTGGATAGCCTCTAGTTTTAGTTGGGCTTGACCATGCCCCTTCCTACAATGTAGCCAAGGTATTTAGCCTCGGCTAGCCCTATAGCACACTTGGCTGGGTTGGCTGTGAGGCCAGCCTGTCTTAGCGTGTCCAGAACTGCTTCCACCTTTCCTAAGTGGGTTTTCCAGTAGGGGGTGTGAATAATCACATCATCCAGGTATGCCGCTGCATAACTGGTATGGGGCCGTAGGAGCTTGTCCATAAGACCCTGGAAGGTGGCAGGTGCCCCATGCAGTCCAAAAGGAAGAACAGTATACTGAAACAGACCCTCTGGGGGTAGAGAATGCCGTCTTTTCTTTCGCATCTTTGGCAAGGGGAATCTGCCAGTATCCTTTTGTTAAATCAAGAGTGGTCAAAATCAGGCATTGCCCAGCGGTCAACTAACTCATCGATACGAGTTATGGGGTATGCATCGAATTTGGATATCTCATTCAGCCAGCGAAAGTCATTACAAAACCTAGTGGTGCCATCGGGTTTGAGCACCAACACAGTCAGGCTTGACCATTGACTGTGGGACTCTTCGATGACTCCCAGCTCCAACATCCTTTTTACCTCTGACTTGATCTCCTCCCTTTTTGCTGCTGGGACCCGGCAGGGCCTTAAAGTTACCTTTGCCCCAGGGTCTGTGATAATATGGTGATATGCTTCAGTGGTCCGGCCTGGTTTGGTTGAAAACATGTCCTGGTATCGGTTGATCAACCGATACCTCCTTCTTCTGGTTTGGTGTCAGATCAGTGGATATCCTGATCTGCTTCTGCATACTATTTCCCTGGATCAGGGTCTCTTGGGCCACTACACACCCTCTCGTTGGTGCCAAGGGTTTAAGAGGTTACTGGGATAAATTTGTTCTTGTTTCTGGTGTCCTGGCTGCAGCACCTTGTAGGTTACTTCCCCCACGGGTTCAACCACCTCATAGGGCCCCTGCCATTGGTCCAAAAGCTTGCTTTCTGCTTTGGGTGCCAACACCGTCACCCAATCCCCTGGTTGGAACGGTCGGACTTTTGCCTGGCGATTGTAATGGGTTCGCTGGGCCTCCTGCCCCTTTTCCAAATGTTCCTGTACAATAGGGGTGACCCGGGCTATCCGTTCTCGCATCTGCAACAGATGGTCAATTATATTCCTCCCCTCACTGGGTTCCTCTTCCCAGATTTCTTTTGCAATATCTAGTATGCCACGGGGGTGGCGTCCGTATAATAATTCAAAGGGGGAAAACCCAGTTGAGGCCTGAGGTACCTCCCGGATTGCTAACATAGGTAGGGTAGTAGGGTGTCCCAATCCTTCCTGTCCCAATTTACCACTTTCTACCAGCCCATCGGTCTGCGGATGATAGACTGAAGTTCTCAGGGTATGTATATGGAGCAGCATACACAGGTCCTTCATTAGCTTAGACATAAATGGGGTACCTTGGTCTGTTAATATCTCCTTTGGTAGCCCCACTTGGGCAAAGATCCCCACCAACTCTTTAGCTATCGTTTTAGAGGCCGTGTTCCGCAGGGGGACGGCTTCTGGGTAGCGAGTAGCATAATCCAGAACGACAAGTATATATTGGTGGCCCCAGGCTGTCTTCTCCAGGGGTCCCACTAGGTCCATGGCTGTTCATTTGAAGGGGACCTCTATGATGGGAAGGGGTACTAAAGGTGCCCTCAAGTGGGGATCGGGACTGTGCAGCTGACACTCTGGGCAGGACGCACAGTACCTCCGCACTTCTTCATGTACTCCGGGCCAGAAGAATCGTCGCAGGACCCGTGCCAGGGTCTTCTCTACCCCCAAATGCCTCCCAAAAAGATGACTATGGGCCAGACTTAATACAGTATTCTGGTGTTTTTGAGGTACTAAGATCTGCTGTACCTTCTGCCCTGTACTGGTGCAAACTCGGTATAAGAGATTCTTCTTCATTATGAAGTAGGGTCCTGGTCCCTGGGTTTTCCCTTCCATGGGGACCCCATCTGTTTCGGTCACCTCCTTCCTAATGTTGTCGTACCTTGGGTCTTCAGCCTGGTCCCGTCCAAAATTTCCTCTCCCGGGGCTAATCTGCCCGAGATCTAGGGGGCCAGTCTCTGTTGCCTCTACTGATTCAGAGGCGTTAGGGTGTGGGTCAGATTCGGGTGCTTCTCCCTCCTGGGTGGCCTCCTTTTCAGCTGGCGCCTTTCGGGGCCGCCTACCTACGAGAGCGACCCTCTGGCTTTAGGCCAGTATTCGGGTTCCCAAGGCCTTAGCTTCCCTTCTTTCCCTTTTTGTCTTTCTACGCTGTCTTGGAGTGGAGAACAAATCTGGGGATATTTCAGAGAAGGTTGGGGGCTGACAGTCTACTGTGGATGCCTCACTACTTTCAGGGCTTCCCCCTTTCTCCAATTCCCCTACCGGGAGTAAGTCTCCAAACCCTGGGAAGTCCCTCCCTATGAGCACTGGGTATGGGAATTTTGGGACTACACCTGCTGCTACCTCAGTAGTGTTCCCCTGAATCTCTATTTTTTACTGGGATGGTGGGGTAATAACCAACTGTCCCATGGATGCATGTTATCCCCGTACGCTTAGCCCACAGCAGCTGACTGCGCTTCTCGAGCTTCCCCGAGACAAGCGTGATAGCACTCCCCGAATCAGCCAGTGCTGTGGTCTCTACCCCATTTAGCTTCACTGGTCTAGTGTACATATGTGGGGTTAGTGAGACCCCCACAAGGTGGATTAGGGAGCATGGGTCTGCCCAGTTCCCCAGGTTACACTGCATAGGCTCCTCGGCATTGGGACACTGCAGCTATGTGTCCCCACTCCCCACAGGCGTAACGTCTCTATGGAGTCCTAGGAGTTCCCTGGTCTCTTGGTTTGGGCAGTCTCTGCTTTCAGCTGGGGGTTGTCTGCCGCAACCTCTTCAGGCAAATCATAGTAGACCTTCTGGGCCTCCCCACACAGGAATGGAGCGAGGATGCCAGACCACTGTTCTCAGGGCCAAGCCTCCCGCAGGGCTGTCCTCTCAAAGGCCAGGAGGTATGCCTCTACATCATCCTTCCGCGTAATTTTCTGCAGCCAGTTGCTGGCCCGCATGATCTGCGTCCCATCATGGCCGTGGTTCAGCTCTGTAAGGGCCTTTACCTGGTTTATTAGTTCCCGCAACATAGTCCGGTCTTGAGCAGCCTGGTCCATCAACAGGCGATTAGTCTCTTGCTGCAGCCTCACTGCCTCCTATTGGCCGGTTGCCTGGACACTAGTAGCCTCCTGCTGGGCAGCCGTGGCTTGTATCAGTGTCCGCACCACCTCCATTGTGGTGAGAAAAAAATAAAAATAGACCTTCTTCCCTTCCCCCCCCCCCCCACCAACACCTTCCTCCTCCCGCCACGCTCATGCACACCAGATCCCACTGCTCACACCAGTTGTGACAAAGTTCCTCCTCTACCTTGGTGAGTCTTGCACTTATTGGCGGATTTGCTCGTCTTGCAGCTTCATGGCAGCCCTCAGTTTGGCCATTTTCATGAATCCACAGTCCAGGTCAACTCCTCCTGTGTCTGACCAGGAGTTGGGAGGTTTGGGGGGAACCCGGGCCCGCCTTCTACTCCGGGTTCTGGCCCAGGGCCCTGTGGAATGCAGCGGTCTAGAGTGCCTCCTGGAACAGCTGTGTGACAGCTACAACTCCCTGGGCTACTTCCCCATGGCCTCCTCCCAACCCCTTCTTTATCCTCACCATGGGACCTTCCTCCTGGTGTCTGATAATGCTTGTACACCTCAGTCCTCCAGCAGTCCGTGTTCTCACTCTCAGCTCCTCACACGCACACCACAAACAGAAGTGAGCTCCTTTTTAAAACCCAGGTGCCGTGATTAGCCTGCCTAATTGATTCTAGCAGCTTCTTGATTGGCTGCAGGTGTTCTAATCAGCCTGTCTTAATTGTCTCCAGAAGTCATTATGTCATTATGCAAGGTAGCCTATTTCCCCTTGTTTTTTCCTACCCCTTCCCCCCCCCCAGATGTTCTGGTTTAACTTGGATTTAAACTTGGAGAGTGGTCAGTTTGGATGAGCTATTACCAGCAGGAGAGTGAGTTTGTGTGTGTATGGGGGTGGGGGGGTGAGAAAACCTGGATTTGTGCTGGAAATGGCCCACCTTGATTATCATGCACATTGTAGGGAGAGTGGTCACTTTGGATGAGCTATTACCAGCAGAATAGTGAGTTTGTGTGTGTGGTTTTTGTGAGGGGGTGAGAGAACCTGGATTTGTGCAGGAAATGGCCCAACTTGATTATCATGCACATTGTGTAGAGAGTTGTCACTTTGGATGGGCTATCACCAGCAGGAGAGTGAATTTGTGTGTGGGGGGTGGAGGGTGAGAAAACCTGGATTTGTGCTGGAAATGGCCCAACTTGATGATCACTTTAGATAAGCTATTACCGGCAGGAGAGTGGGGTGGGAGGAGGTATTGTTTCATGGTCTCTGTGTATATAATGTCTTCTGCAGTTTCCACAGTATGCATCCGATGAAGTGAGCTGTAGCTCACGAAAGCTCATGCTCAAATAAATTGGTTAGTCTCTAAGGTGCCACAAGTACTCCTTTTCTTTTTGCGAATACAGACTAACACGGCTCTTACTCTGAAACCTGTCTCCAGAAGGTTCCTGATTGTTCTGGAACCTTCCCTGTTACCTTACCCAGAGAAAAGGGACCTACTTAGCCTGGGGCTAATATATCTGCCTTCTGTTACTCTCCTGTAGCCCTCTGGCCCGACCCTGTCACAAGAGGTAGTACAATATTTTCTGTCTTATCTATCCCTTTCTTAATTTTATTTATTTAGTGTGTGCATAGTCGTCTAGCCATTCCCAACATTCTGTTTGCTTTTTTGGCTGCCGCTGCACATCAAGTGGATGTTTTCTGAGAACTATCCGCAATGATTCATAGACTCATAGATGGACCATTATGATCATCTAGTCTGGCCTTCTGCACAGTGCAGGCCACCGAAGCTCACCCATCCACTCCAGCAATAAACCTCTCACCTATGTCTGAGCTATTGAAATCCTCAAATCATGGTTTAAAGACTTCAAGGCACAGAGAATCCTCCAGCAAGTGACTCGTGCCCCATGCTGCAGAGGAAGGTGAAAAACCCCCAGGGCCTCTTCCAATCTGCCCTGGAGGAAAATTCCTTTCTGACCCCAAATATAGCGATCAGCTGAACCCTGAGCACGTGGGCAAGAATCACCAGCCAGATGCCCAGGAAAGAATTCTCTGTAGTAACTCAGATCCCACCTCATCTAACATCCCATCACAGGCCATTGGGCCTATTTACCATGAATAGTTAAAGATCAATTAATTGCCAAAATCATGTTATCCCATCATACCATCTCTTCCATAAAATTACCAAGTTTAATTTTGAAGCCAGATAGGTCTTTTGCCCCCACTGCTTCCCTTGGAAGGCTGTTCCAGAATTTCACTCCTCTGATGGTTAGAAACCTTCGTCTAATTTTAAGTCTAAACTTCCAAATGACCAGTTTATATCCATTTGTTCTTGTGTCCACATTGGTACTGAGCTTAAATAATTCCTCTCCCTCTCTGGTATTTATCCCTCTGATATATTTATAGAGAGCAATCATATCTCCCCTCAACCTTCTTTTGGTTAGGCTAAGCCAAGCTCCTTGAATCTCCTTTCATAAGATTTCATGGATTTGTGCTGGAAATGGCCCAACTTGATGATCACTTTAGATAAGCTATTACCAGCAGAACAGTGGGGTGGGAGGAGGTATTGTTTCATGGTCTCTGTGTGTATATAATGTCTTCTGCAGTTTCCACGGTATGCATCTGATGAAGTGAGCTGTAGCTCACGAAAGCTCATGCTCAAATAAATTGGTTAGTCTCTAAGGTGCCACAAGTCCTCCTTTTCTTTTTGCGAATACAGACTAACACGGCTGTTACTCTGAAACCTTTCATAAGACAGGTTTTCCATTCCTCGGATCATCCTAGTAGCCCTTCTCTGTACCTGTTCCAGTTTGAATTCATCCAAGATCTCTTTCTTGAGTTGTAACAGCTAATTGAGACCCCCATTATTTTATCTGTATAGTTGTGATTGTTTTCCAGCGTGCATTACTTTGCATTTATCCACATGGAATTTCATCTGCCATTTTGTTGCCCAGTCACCCAGTTTTGAGAAATCCTTTTTGTAGCTCTTTGCAGTCAGTTTCGGATTTAACTATCTTGAATAGTTTTGTATCCTCTGCAGATTTTGCCACCTCACTGTTTACCCCTTTTCCAGATCAGTTGGATATGTTGGATATGAATATGTTGAACAGCAGTGGGCCCAGTACAGACCCCTGGGGGTCACCACTATTTACCTCTCTCCATTCTGAAAACTGACCATCGATTCCTACCCTTTGTTTCCTATCTTTTTAGCCTGTTACCGATCTATGAGAGGACCTTCCCTCTTATCCCATGACAGCTTACTTTGCTTAAGAGCCTTTGGTGAGGGACCTTGTCAAAGGCTTTCTGATGATCTAAGTACACCATATCTACTGGATCCCCCTTGTCCACATGCGTGCTGACCCCCTCACAGAATTGTAGTAGGAGCAGAGAAGAAACTTCTCTTCTCATGTCTACATGCGTTGAGGAATTGCTCAGGGAGAAGTTAAAGGGTTAGAGAGCCTGGTGTGTTCAGCCCCTGAGCAGAACTCTCCTGTCCCCTCTGAGATCCAGTGCTCTAGAGCCTGGGCTCTCCTGTGCCTGGCAGGCAGCACCAGAGCCAAGGGAGAGGAATGGGCTCATACTCTTGCCGAGTTGGACTCGGAAGCAGCCAGCCTGTGGGTGAGATCTGGGTGGGGAGCCTGGTTAGTTCTCACTGCCTCCTTTCTGGAGTGAGGGCCAGCCCTGCCCGCCCCTGGGCGGAGGGGAGGGGACAAAGGGAGGGCCGGCCGGCTCTTTGCTGATCTAGCAGGTGTGCTGCTGCAGTAGCCGGGGTGGTGGGCTGCCAGGGCCTCACAGAAGCTCCCTTCTCTGCCCCTTGCAGCGTCCCCCACACCAAGTCCCTGGAGGGGCGGCTCAAGGAGGAGCTGATTGCCCAAGGCCTGCTGGAGTCCGAGGACCGCCCCCCCGAGGACTCGGAGGATGAGGTCCTGGCAGAGCTGCGCAAGAGGCAGGCCGAGCTCAAGGCGCTCAGTGCTCACAACCGGGCCAAGAAGCAGGAGCTGCTCAGGTGGGTGTGGGGCCGGAGGTGCTGGCAGGAGGCTAGGCCACAGCTGACGGCTCTGCCTCTCTCCCCAGGCTGGCCAAGGATGAGCTACACAGGCAGGTTCTGCGGCAACGTGTACGCGTGGCTGACAATGAGGTCATGGACGCCTTCCGCAAGATCATGGCGGCACGCCAGAAGAAGCGCACGCCCACCAAGAAGGAGAAGGACCAGGCCTGGAAGACCCTGAAGGAGCGCGAGAGCATCCTCAAGCTCCTGGATGGCTAATGGGGAAGTGCCTCAGCCTGCCCTGTCTCTCCAGACTGCCTGCACAGACCGCTCCTCGCCGGGGACAGGGAGGCTCCGACCCCGGGCCTTAGCAGTGACTTCCCTGGCCTTGTCTCAGTGGGGCTGGGCACAGGCTCACTCTGTCTGCCTGGGGCCAGGCTGGAGGGGTTTGCCAGGCCCTGGGGAGGCAGAGCCCCTATGTGTGTCCCCACCTGCGGCTCTGCACCTGGTAGCACCTCCCTGAGCAGCTCCCTGGACTCCCCCTTCTCCCCGGGGTGCTCAGCTTCCCCGTATCTCCCTTCCCTACTATGCTGTGCAAGGTGCGCTCTCCCTTCCCAGCCCCCGGCGGGCCTGCTCCCTGCAGCAGGTGATCTGCAGGGGCGGGTGCTGTGTAGGGCTGGGCCAGGTCCCTTCTCCTAGGCCTGTTCTTTGGATCCCTGCTGCAGCCAAGGGCACCAGAGGGCTCCCTCATCCGTCTGCCTGTAGGCAGCGCTCTTTCCTTTCTGGCCTATCTGGCTGTAGATCTAGAGCACTTGTCTGGCTGCAGGCGAGAGCCATCCATCCGCCCCAGGACTACACAAACACAGCTGCCTGTCTAGAAGGATCACTGGTCCCGGCCTCTCTCCTGGTCGCATGGGCAAGGGCAGGGGCTGACCAGCCCTGCTAGCATAGCCCCAGCCTCCAAAGGGCCTGAAGCCAAGCAGGGAGCTGCTGCCTGGAGAAACCAGGGTTTGGGTGCCCCCCACGTGCCCAGTTGTGAGCAGCAGAGAGTGCTGTGACCCTGGGAACAGCCCAGCTTCCCTTTCCGGGTGCAGCTGGGCCCTGCTGTTATTCTTGGAAAGCCGTGACAGCCCTGACATCAGCTGCGCTGCAGCCTCCAGCCCCACTGCCTGGGGCGCCTCCATGGGGCGGGTGTGTAGCTCCGGGGAGTGGGGAGGATACAGACCTGCTGGACAGTGCATCTCTGTTCCATTTCCAGCTCAGTCCCCAGGTGCGGCGGGAGCTGCCAAAGCAGGGGGCTCTAGCTGTGTCCCTGTCCCCTTCCCCTGGGTGGGGGGCTGGCCCCTGTGGGAGTGGGGCTAGAAGTGCGGCTAGAAGTCTCCATGGCTGGAGGCTGTCCAGCCACAGGAGGGAGCTGCCGAAGTGCGATGGGAAGTTGAGGCCCGAAGGGCAGCCCCTCGCTTTGCCTCAGGCCAGCACAGCAGTGGGGGTGGGCATGCAGCAGAGCAGAGGGGGCCTGAGGCAAAGGGGGAAGGAACGCTCCCCTGCTGTACAGGTCGTGCCAGAGCAGTTCTGGCAGTGCTGGGTGGGCAGGAAGACGGTAGCAAATGGAGGGGCAGGGGCTGGCTGAAGTGCAGGACCTGGATCTCTGCCTCTGCGCAGGGAGGGCCCCGCTCCACCTGGGGCCCCTGCAGTCCTGCACTCAGCTGCAGAGGTGCCCCCTATGAGGCTTGTCCCTTGCGGGGAGGCACAGGCTGTGCCTGGCTGGGAGAGCACCTTAGTCCTAGCTTGTGGAGCTCCTTCTGGCTGTAGTAGCCGTCTCCTGGGAGGGCAGGGACACCATGGCTGGGGCTGTGCCAACTGGGCAGAACCCAGAGGGATTGAGCTGGGGCCAGGCAGGGGTCCTGGGCTCCCCTCTGCTTAGCGGGAGCAGCCCAGTTGCTGCTGAGATTTGAGGCTCTGGGGGTCTCAGCACCAAGGCTGGGTCAGGCCTGTGCTGGGGGTGCTGCCTGCTGGGCTCTGCATGAGAATGACAGCTTTTAGCTGATGGGGCAGGGGAGGGATGAGGTGGGCCGTGCACCTGTCTCATGTCAGTGCCCCGCACCACTGCCCGTGGGTGGGTGCTCTCTGCACAGGCCCTGCCAGGGAGTGGGGGGCTGGAGAGCAGAGACCCTCCAAACCTAGCTGCTGCCCATGGGGTGGGTGGGGAAGCTGCTACTTGCCTTAGTGGGGTGGGCTGGAGTTCTGCCAGCCCTGTGGGTGCTCTCTCCAGTCCAGCACTGGGCACCTTCTGGGCTTCCCGAATGCCAGTTGTCTGCCCCCTGGCCTCCCCCAACCGAAGGTGCACAAGGATAGGTTCCAGCCAGGGAAACCTTTGTTTTCTCTCCAGCGGTTTCTTCACTCACCTCCCTGTTCGCTGGGAGACTCTGGGGCTGGCTCTTGGGCCCGCTGGTCCGGGGGGTGGTCAGAGGGTCCTTGCACCACTTTCTCTGAAAGCTTGAATGGTCGTATCAGGGCATGGGAGCAGGTGAGGCCTGCTCCAGCCCCTGGCCATGATGCCAGCAGCTCTGGGAGGTCCCTGTTAGTGGGCTAAAACCGGAGCAAACCTATCGGCTGACACACACGCAGGAGGGTTTCCGTGTCATTCTGGCTAGGGAGGGAAGTGTGCCAGCTGAAGAGCTGGGACTATATTGACTAGTTGAAGGGGAACCCCCAGGGTCTCCCTGGCCTCTGCAAAGCACTGTTGGGGGCGCTAGGCTGCTGGAATTCTGTGAGCAGCTCAGTCGTGGAGTGGGACTTCCAAAGGGCCTCAGACAGGGCCGGAGCCAGAAACCCCCGCCTAGGTTATCCAGTCTGGCAAAAGGTGGGGAAGGCCTGAGGCCATGAGCACGGTCAAGCTATGGCTACATGGAGCTGCCTCGGTGGCTCACGGACTTTTCTACGCCTGCCTCGCTCCCCACACCCTCTTCCTGAGAGGACAATTGTAGAGTTGGAAAGTTCTTGGCCCATGGTTGGGTCCGAGGCTGGGTGTTCAGTGTATTTATTAGCAAGCGAGAAATTTAGCCATTGTTGCAGATGACACCAAATTATTTAAATAAAGATGGTGAAGACTGAAAGGAGCCTGTGGGGGTCTGACCAGCCAGGAGACCAGGCGACCCACTGGCAGATGGCAGTCAGAGCTGACAGACAAATGAACATTGGCAGGAATAAGTCAACCTGCTCGCTCGCTGTACAGGGCTCTCAAGGAACTGTAATGACCCAGGGAAAAGGCCTGGCTGTTTTTGGGCCGGGTCAGTGGAAGCTCTGCTCCGTGTGCAGCCGCAGTGAACAAGCAAATAAACAGGTGGGATACGCAAGGATGAAAAAGCCTCCTCTGGGATGCTGTGATCAGTGCTAGTCCCCACGTCTCCGCCAGAACGCAGCAGGAATCAAGGGGCTTGGGCAGAGGCAACGCGAATGGTCTGGGGCTGGAAAGCCCCCAGGCAGAGAGCCTGAAACACTTGGGCCTGTCTCCATTAGAGAAGAGACAAGGGGGGAGCGGATTAAGGTGGCCTGGGGAATGAATGGGCTAGAAAAGGCAGAGTGGGCACTGCCGTTCTCCCTCTGTCCTGACAGGAGAACCGGGCGTTTCGGGACTGGCAGGTAGCCCGTTTGCAGCAGGGAGGAAAGACCTGGTCAACCCTCCGCTGTCCAGGGCTGATGCCTCCGTAGGCTGTAACGGGGCCAGGAGGGAGCATCTGGGAGCATGAGAGAGAGAAGGGCCCGCAGCCTGAGGAGCTACGGGGAACCCCCCAGGGCAAGTTGCCCTGGGCCTGGCCCGGCCCGGCTGGCTGGTCCTGTGCTGCGTGGCCCAGGGAGGGAGCTGGGGGCTGTGAAGTGCAAAGGGGTGAGCGCAGGGCCCGTGGGGCAGGCATGAGGAAGGGGCCTGGAGAAATTGGTCCTGCTTTGAGCAGGGGGTTGGACTAGATGACCTTCTGGGGTCCCTTCCAACCCTTATATTCTATGATTCTATGAAATGGAATGGGTTGGGGGGGGGTCCCATGGGGTGGCCTGGGGCTGGCGTGTGTTGGGATTCTGGGGGGGGGGGGGGGTACCATGGGGTGGCCTGGGGCTGGCGTGTGTTGGGATTCTGGGGGGGGGGGGGTACCATGGGGTGGCCTGGGGCTGGCGTGTGTTGGGATTCTGGGGGGGGGGTCCCATGGGGTGGCCTGGGGCTGGCGTGTGTTGGGATTCTGGGGGGGTGGTGTCCCATGGGGTGGCCTGGGGCTGGCGTGTGTTGGGATTCTGGGGGGGGGGGGGGGGGTCCCATGGGGTGGCCTGGGGCTGGCGTGTGTTGGGATTCTGGGGGGGGGGGGGGGGGTCCCATGGGGTGGCCTGGGGCTGGCGTGTGTTGGGATTCTGGGGGGGGGGGGGGGGGTCCCATGGGGTGGCCTGGGGCTGGCGTGTGTTGGGATTCTGGGGGGGGGGGGGGGTCCCATGGGGTGGCCTGGGGCTGGCGTGTGTTGGGATTCTGGGGGGGGGGGGGGGGGGGGTCCCATGGGGTGGCCTGGGGCTGGCGTGTGTTGGGATTCTGGGGGGGGGGGGGGGGGGTCCCATGGGGTGGCCTGGGGCTGGCGTGTGTTGGGATTCTGGGGGGGGGGGGGGGGGGGTCCCATGGGGTGGCCTGGGGCTGGCGTGTGTTGGGATTCTGGGGGGGGGGGGGGGGGTCCCATGGGGTGGCCTGGGGCTGGCGTGTGTTGGGATTCTGGGGGGGGGGGGGGGGTCCCATGGGGTGGCCTGGGGCTGGCGTGTGTTGGGATTCTGGGGGGGGGGGGGGGGGGGTCCCATGGGGTGGCCTGGGGCTGGCGTGTGTTGGGATTCTGGGGGGGGGGGGGGGGGTCCCATGGGGTGGCCTGGGGCTGGCGTGTGTTGGGATTCTGGGGGGGGGGGGGGGTCCCATGGGGTGGCCTGGGGCTGGCGTGTGTTGGGATTCTGGGGGGGGGGTCCCATGGGGTGGCCTGGGGCTGGCGTGTGTTGGGATTCTGGGGGGGGGGTCCCATGGGGTGGCCTGGGGCTGCTCTGGAGGAGGGGGAGGGCTCTCACGGGGCAGGAGTGGGGGGGATTCCGCGGGGGGGGGTCTGGAGAAGGGGGCGCCGCCCTAGTAGGGGCTGGACCTAGGGGTTCGGGGGGGCCGCACCCCCCGGTCTCAGGTTCTCAGTGGGTCCGGCTGGGGGAGGAGGCGGGATCGGGCCCCCCCCGCCTGTGAATGGAGCCGCCCTGCCCCTCCCCCAGCTAATTTTAGTTTAATCCCGTCGCCAGGCAGATCCCGGCCTCGGATTGGCCGCCCCGCAGCGAGCCCCGCCTCGCTGTGACGTCACGGGGCTGGCCGCTGGGCGCTGCGGCCGCTCTCGGGCTCGGCTCGGGGGAGAGCGGGGCGCGCGGTAAGGGCCGTGCGGGGCCGTGCGCGGGGGGTGCGTGTGCGGGGTGCGGGGGGTGCGTGTGCGGGGTGCGGGGGGGCGTGTGTGCGGGGTTCAGGGTGTGTGTGTGCGCGGGGTGCGGGGTGTGTGCGGGGTGCGGGGGTGTGTGTGTGCGGGGTGCGGGGTGGTGTGTGTGTGCGGGGTGCAGGGGTGTGTGGGTGTGTGCGGGGTGTGTGCACACTGTGTGTGCGGTGGTGGATCTGTGGGTGTGTGGGTGGGATGCAGGGGTGTGTGTGGGGTGTGTTTGTACACACTGTGTGTGCGGTGGTGGATCTGTGTGGGTGTGTGTGTGTGGGATGCAGGGGTGTGTGTGTGCGGGGTGTGCGCGTGTGTTTGTACACACTGTGTGCGGTGGTGGATCTGTGGGTGTGGGTGTGTGGGATGCAGGTGCGTGTGTGGGCACAGGGGTCTCCGTGCGTGTGTGCTCACAGGCCTGTGTGTGCAGTGGTCTGTGTGGATGCGCTCAAGGATCCTTCTGTGTGTGCACAGGTACGTGCATGCCTGTGTGTGCAGGGATCCCTGTGTGCGTGTGCAGGGATGTGTGTGCATGTGTATATTTGTGTGTGTGCGTGTGTGCATGGATCTGTGTGTGCATGCTTGCGTGGTTGGAGAGCTCTGTTTGTGCACGTGATCTGTGTACGTGTGTGCTTGCACACCCATGGGTATCCGTGTTTTCGTGTGCGTGTATGGGGGGGAACTGTGCGCACGCCCCACTCTCCGGGGCATGCTACCTGTCTGGGTGTGCCCTCTGCCTGCTGGTGCCCTGACTGTGCCCCTGGGCACCTTCCCGCTGGCCAGGCATGTTGTGCGATGCAGGGCCTGGCCGCCACTGGCAGGCGTGGGCGTGTGGCAGGTTCTGTGGGGTGTGAGTTAATGGGCAGGGATGGCCGTTCTCATGTTCGTATGATTTGCACCTTTGCTCTGGGGCACTCCCTGGAGTGGCTGCTGTTGTCATGCCGACTGTGAGGGAATTGATTTAAAAAAGCAAAGTTTGATTTTTGGGTGGAAGGGGCTGGGAGCAGGGCTGGGGCCAGGGGCAGAACTGGCCTGGCTGAGGAGGCTGGGGGCAGGGCCCTGGCGACCCAGGGGGGTGGTAGGGTGAAGAGCCCCGTGCCCTGGCATCGCCCTGGGGCCCAGCCCATGTGGCTGCTGGCCATGGCCCTGATCTCTGCTGAGGCAGACTCCTACCCCCCTCCCCCCGGTGAGAGTGGCAATAGGTCTGGGCGCGTACCACACCGGGGGTGACCAGGACTCCTGGGGGTTCGAAGGGGCTGAGCTCGTGGGCCCAGCCCTCCCAGCCCCTTCCCCAGCTCGGCCCGTGGGCCCGGCCCGGCCCTCCCAGCCCCTTCCCCAGCTCGGCCCGTGGGCCCGGCCTGGCCCTCCCAGCCCCTTCCCCAGCTCGGCCCGTGGGCCCGGCCTGGCCCTCCCAGCCCCTTCCCCAGCTCGGCCCGTGGGCCCGGCCCTCCCCGGCCCCTTCCCCAGCTCGGCCCGTGGGCCCGGCCCTCCCCGGCCCCTTCCCCAGCTCGGCCCGTGGGCCCGGCCCTCCCCGGCCCCTTCCCCAGCTCGGCCCGTGGGCCCGGCCCGGCCCTCCCGGCCCGGCTGATCCAGTCGTTGACCCCTCAGCTCTGCTGGTTCAGCTCGAGCTCCTGTCCGGGCAGGCACAGGCTCTTCTGCTCTGATGCCACCCCTGCTTGCTGCCCCGCACAGGCCCTGAGCGTGGTGCCGTCACGCTGCTGCTCTGCGCCAGGCCTGCTGGGGCGCGCTGCCCGCTGCCCCTCAGGGAAGGCGGCTGACAGCCCGGCCCGGGAAGGATGATGCCTCTGGGTGAGGATGGGCCGAGCTGGAAGAAGAGAGCCCAGGACATCCGGGAGATCTACGAGTTCCGGGAGACCCTGGGCACGTGAGTCAGACCAGCTGCTGCCCAGCCCGGTGCTCGGATCCGTCTCTGCGCTTACCATGTCGCCCTGCCCGCCCCGGCCTTGCGGCCTGTCTGCCCTGGGGAGGGCTTGTAACCCCAGTCCGTCCAACAGGGGGTGCTGTGGGGGTGGGACAGGATACTGGCTGTGGGGGGAGCTCCCAGCAGGGGGCACTGTGGGGGTGGGACGCTGGCTGTGGGGGGAGCTCCCAGCAGGGTGCGCTGTGGGGGCGGGGCACTGGCTGTGGGGGGAGCTCCCAGCAGGGGGCGCTGTGGGGGCGGGGCGCTGGCTGTGGGGGGAGCTCCCAGCAGGGGGCGCTGTGGGGGCAGAGCAGGATGCTGGTTCTGGGGAGCTCCCAGGAGGGGGTGCTGTGGGGGGGGGGCACTGGCTGTGGGGGGACCTCCCAGCAGGGTGCGCTGTGGGGGCAGGGCGCTGGCTGTGGGGGGAGCTCCCAGCAGGGGGCGCTGTGGGGGCAGAGCAGGATGCTGGTTCTGGGGAGCTCCCAGCAGGGTGCGCTGTGGGGGCAGGGCGCTGGCTGTGGGGGGAGCTCCCAGCAGGGGGCGCTGTGGGGGCAGGGCGCTGGCTGTGGGGGGAGCTCCCAGCAGGGGGCGCTGTGGGGGCAGGGCGCTGGCTGTGGGGGGAGCTCCCAGCAGGGGGCGCTGTGGGGGCAGGGCGCTGGCTGTGGGGGGAGCTCCCAGCAGGGGGGCGCTGTGGGGGCGAGGCAGGATGCTGGTTCTGGGGAGC